TAGGACAGACTGAGTCCTATAGCCTTGGTTGGCGACTAGTCTAAGAGAAAGAAAATCTTCGATTTCAAAACCAGCCTGGGGATGGTTGGACTCTATCAGGGTATCTTGCTCAGTAAAGACCACTGCTATTGCGACTGCAGTATGTATGGTGCTCCCACGACCCTAACCAGTTGCGGGTCCCGTGATCCTCATGTGCCGCGTCTCTTCAGGACGTTGGTGATTATGCCACGCAATATTTTCCTATCCTTAGTAGTTCTTAGTAATGTTTGTCTTTTCACTAGCCTCTCTCCCTGTTTAGCGCTTTTTTTTACGTATTTTTAGGAAATGATTTTGAATACTTCAGAAGAAAATTAGATATTTTTTTTATACGCTCTGGAAAAACATTGAGCTCTCCTATATCTTTCAAAGATCTATCCCCATTTCATAAAACTGGAGACAATAATCCCAGCGCAGGGTACCCTTAAGGATATGGTGCAGTTCGAACAGTTCCGTCAAGTTGGCTAAAAGACAGCACTGCTAGAGAGTAGATTTATAGTTAATGAAATATTGAAAATATTCGAGTTTGGGAGAAATTGTATATTTCTTTTCACTCTCGCCAAAATTGAAACAAGAATAATAATTTTAAAAAATAGGACTTCTTTAGCAGAACTTGCGAAAAGTGAGAAAGAAATAAGAAACTTGTTTTCAGCCCCGAATCTGTTTAAGAAAAACACATTTATAGAAAGACAAAAAAGAAAGACACTTTTGACAGAAAAAAAGAAACATCGATGAATGGGCTGAGATAGATAGATAGATAGATAGATAGATAGATAGATAGATAGATAGATACGCTTAGGTAGATAGATAGATAGATAGATAGATAGATAGAGAAAGAGATATTTGAATACTATTAGATATATGAATAGGCATAGATAGATATGTAGATAGATAGATAAATGTATATTTGAATAGTCTTAGATGAATAGACATATATAGAAAGATAGATAGATAGAGAAAGAGAGATGGGCAGACTGAGATAGAAAATGTATTAAAATTAACTGAAAGTGACGTTGAGAAAAACAAGGCAAGAAAAAAGGCGAGAAGGGAAAGCTGTCTAAAAAGGCAGTTACGAAGAAATTGAAGAAGAAAGAATAAATGAGAAGACAGATTTATGAAACTACGACTTCGGGAATGGGGAAAAAAACGTGAAAATCTG